CCCTCCCATACTGACATCTTTCTAGACCTTCAAACATGCAACTCTTTTATACTCCCAGGACACCATTTGCACCATTGCAAATGTCATTCCAAGCATGGACAAAATTGATGAAGTGCTCCATCCTTGATCAAACTCATGGCAGTATCACCTGGCAATCCAAGCTGCCATGTGACTTGGCAAGGCCACTATCAACAGGTATTATTCGAAGACTGACTCCTCAGATGTTTACCAGATTGCAATGAGTATGTATCGTTGTCTGTATTCTTCCTTTCATTTGACTGACACTTATATATAGTCTTGCACCCTGGCCTCAAACTTGAATACTTTCGGCAAAATCACTGGGAGGCCCAGTGGATCGATGTTGCCGAAAGTGTTACTTGGGATGAGTATGACACTTGGTATAAGGACCAGGCTCCTGATGATGCCAACAGCCATCATACAGATTTGCAAATGGAGGTAAGTCATTGTGTTCGCATTCTTACTCTCTGCTGATAAGTTATAGGTTTCTGATGATGAATACGGTGGATTTGCAAATGTATCTTTAGCTGGAAAAGTCCCCTTCCAGGATGAGCTGGATGAGTACCTTGGCCTTCCTGTTGAGACTGTGAAGGATCTGTTGAAGTGGTGGTGGGATAACCACAAGGTCTACCCCAACCTTCATTGGATGGCGCTTGACTACTTAAGCGTGCCTGGTGAGTGTTTCAACTTATGATATCTTTGTGAGATCTAATCTTTGGCTTTCGATACAGGTGCATCTACAGCCGTTGAACGTGCCTTCTCTCAAGGATGACAGTTACTCCATTTCACTCATAACCGCCTCTCCCCAACTTCTATCCAAGCCTTGTTATGCTTAGGTTCATGGGGCTGTTGCGATCTTCTCCACATGTCTGAGCTTTTAGCTGCTGTCAACAAGAAGAGGAAGAGGGTGTCGGAGGTTGTGGATGATGTAGACACCACCGGGGTAGTGTAGATATGAATGTAATCTGTGTTTCGTGGCAAGTAAATACAAGATATTTGGTCTTTTTATTGACTGACCCACGGTTTGGAGCCACAGTGAGTGAACCTGCAGTATTCTGATAACACCAGCGGTGTTTACCCTCAGGTTTGAACCCATACCTGTGAAGGGTAAGGGTTGATGGGTTAGGGGTACAGTGCAAGGTTCTGGCACCTGTGGTGTAACCCGTGTCGTACCCTAGGCACGGACATTGCCAGAGGTCAACCATGCTGATGCGAATGTTGGGGAGTGCCATGGCTCAACCTGCTTTATTCTACCATCATGTTCACTTACATGCCCTTCACGGACCATGCAAGCCTGGACAAAATGATCATTGACTATGAGACGCTCAAGGTCAAAGCTGGGGATCTTAGGGACTGGGTCAATGAGGCCGCAACTTCATTCGAATTTGAATGGTGGTATGCTGCAGCTCAAATCGTCATGGTGAGTGACTGCCTTCTGGATGAAAATCACACTGATTCCTAGTGGGTCTGGTCAGGCCCAGAAGGCGATTTATGAAGTCAACTTATGAGCCATGGTTGGATCTTCCATTTCACGCTGTGACTGGGACTGGGATGGCTTCCGGGCGCTCATGGAGAATGTCAAAAAGCAGATAGAAAACTTTAGAGTGCAGGATGCTGGCCTCATTGATAGGCCTGAGAGTGATGAGGAGTGTCAGGCCGTCATGGGGCTGTACGGTCTGTTCGACAAGAAGGGATTAAAGCTCCTTTCCCATGCAGACAATATCAAAACTGAGGAGCAGTTTGACAAGTGGGCCAAGGACATCACAGATCTTCATGTGAGTCCCTGTTGTCCATTTGATCTTCAATCATCACCAATAGTTTTCAGGAGGCAATGGTTTATGAGGAGGAAGAGAACAACATCCAAAACAGTGGCCGGCTTCTTTTCAGCACATGCAATTGGGAGTTACTCCAGGACCTTGAGGTGTCCCTGAGTGAGAAATGGAAGGGGCTGAAGTTGTACAAGACTTTCAGCTGGGGAGAGTAGAACTGATCGGACACACATGTAGTTACATTACAGTCTTTTCCAGTCCTTCATGATTGATCAGAGATTCTGATTACCTGAATTCACAAATTGATGAAGCCATTCACAATTGGAGACGATCTAAATCTATGCATTGGGCTAGGTCAATAATAGATACATCTTAGGACGATGCAGATGAACCGGCATGTCCCCCCTGACCAGCATATGGCTGATAATCCTCATATGCAGCCAAGGCAAGTGCAAGGACAGCCAATTTATCCTCATATGTCTGCCTGGCACTCAGCGCCAGTTGATATTGGACTTCATAGTCTATCTGCAGGCGATGCACAAGAGGACTATCAGCGAAGCGAGGGTACACCAACTCCGGCACATACTTGGATGCAAGCCCGAAGAGCTCTGAGGGCTGGGAAGACAAGGCGAGCTCAGGGGGGTCATGTGGATGCACATATGTGTGGCTCTCTCAGACAATTTCATCAAGGTTGGTAATCTGGGTCAGAGAAGTGAGATGAATGTTCATTTACAGCATAAGAATCATACTGGTGGTTGTGGGGATTTTGATGGCCAAGGGAGACACACAGGGGATTTGAGCTGGGCAATAGCAGATTGGTTGAACCAGGCATTCTCCAATGCCTGGACAACCACCAGCATATGAGGCACCTGGCATGGATAAGAATAAGATGGGCAATTCATTTTGGGACACTCACCTCAAGACCAAATTGTGAATGCAACTTGGTCAGACCAGCACTGACATCCTTGTAAGTCCACCAGTGTGGAAGGGGCAGCTCACCTGGGGATGCTGCAGCCTCAACCATATACAGGTCTTGACTCAGATCTGTCAGGACAGTGCTCCAATCATTGCTGGGAGGTTGTTCCCAAAAGAAAAAGGCAAAGAGAACTTCATAGAAGAACCCTGTGACCTTCCAGGATATACCAGACCCCAAGGCATCCAGGTAGATCTGTTGATAAGCAAGCTACATTGACAGTCAATAATGCATCAAGCGGTGGAGTTAGGGTATGCACAAGCTCAAACTGGACGCCAGTGCACCAATCAGAGAAGTCTGAAGGTGAAAGCTGAGCATTCACATCATCAGGGGAACAATAGGCCTGGACAATCTTGCAAATCCATCTTGCTAGTCCCAGGAGGATGTGCTCAACCTTGCCTTGAATGTACGAATCGAGGGTCCAGTCATCATGGGGCAGAGCCTGTCCCTCAGTGCCGGAGCTGAGGTGGGTGAGATGTCGGCAAAGATCCCAGCGATGGTCGATGTATGGTGGCTGTTCAGAGGAATGCTGAGCAGGGCCCAATAAAAGCTGAGTGGATTGGCTAGATATGGTGATTGTTCAGAAGAGTGGGGTTCACAGTGGTAGTGTGGTTGAAAGGGTGGACGAGCTGAATATGACAAGTCCATGTTGGTCACATGGGAAAACGTCACACAGCACAATTTCACATATTGCCTATGGTGTCTTATCTCTATGTATAGTAATGTAATGCAGCAGGGGGTGGATATGCTAGTAGAGTTTTGTGAAAGTCATCATCGGCACGGGTCGCAAACATGGACCATAGATGAGCCTGACGAGCGGCATAGCATCAATGACCATCCATGCCGGCTTTGCCAGAGGCAACTGCCTGGTTGTGCCACTCATCTTCTTTCGACCAGAAAAATCAAACCACCCAGTCCATCTCATAACAGAGTAATGTGAACTCTTCTGCCCACTGTGTCCTCATGGCTCTGGCACACAGCCAATGAACTCGATAAACTGTCCTTTTGTCAGTCCTTCAATCTAGCGAAAAATGAACAACTCACAATCATCCAAATATTCGTTCTTTTCCTGCTCTCCAGCATTGATGGCCAGGTTCATGGTCCAAAACCATGCAAGGGACTTCTGTTGAGTCCTGTGGGCGGCAGGATCATCTATGACACTGGTAGTGATCTTCAGGTCCTCTCTCTCCATATTGTGATAATGGGCAAGAAGCTTGGCACTTGCACCCAAGCGCTGCATGGCTTGGCAGCAGTGTTTGTAAAGCCGGCTGTTTTTCTGGACCGTTCCTTCAACATGTCCTACCTGGGACCAGGATCAAGACTTCTTGTTCTGTGATTTGTTATTCCGGACTTCTGTGCAATACAGAAACGATTTGTGTCCAAGGGCTATCCAAATCTGCTGGAGATTGTCATTGGCCTGTCTGATTTGCACTTCCAGCTCTTCTGCCTGAATCCTTTTGTAGCCCTTTTTTGAGCACTGCTGTGAGCCAAGCATTGATGGAAGAGAGATATATCGTTTCTCAGCATCAATGGAGCTGTTGCTGCTGTCGGCCTGGGCTTGTACTGTAGCATAGTAGAAGTTGTCTTCCCACAGGGGATCATCATTTTTTATTTTTTTATTTGAATCCATTTATTATCCATTGTGGGAGTCCCATATGTCAGATATTACATGCCATGTGCTACTGATCTCTTCCCTTTCTGTGTCGATCCATACAAAGGCCCTGGTGAGCATTGCTCAGGTGCAACGAAAGCCTGCTGGAGGCAATGTGATTGTAATTAGTATATCATGTCTCTGTGTAGTCCCTCGGTCCTCGGCTGCACCAACTATCCCACCCTAAACCTGGGCCCAACCATCCATATTCGGCTCCCTGACCCCTGCCCAGACTGACACAGCCTCTGCAATCCCTCAGTGCCCATCCCAATGCTATGGCTGTGACTCCAATGACCCCTTTACTGGCACCCCCTGACCGGAACTACATCTTTCCCCAATGCAGTCGTCCCACCTGGCACATAGTCCTTATTTGGTAAGATGAGCTGGGTGATCCGAGTGTCTGCTGCTGGAGCCAAGGTGCAAGAGTGCCGTACATAAATGATAAAGTTTTCGGATAGGAGTCGATGTCAGTTCGGAATCACACATGGGAGTTGAAATCCATGCATGTCCCTATTTGGACTGATTGTTGAATCACGGTGTTGGTGACAATCAGTGTGGTGGAACCCAGGCCATCAAGGTGACAAGGGGGGGGGGCCAGCAGGATTCAAACCTGCGACTTCATTGAGTGCAAAATGCACCTTCTCCAACACCAAGTGGCTACCACTACACCACCTGGCCCCAGGGGATCATCATCATCCCCAAAGACTGTGTCATACTCTTCACCATTGGGAATTTCATCATTGGCATTGTCCACTACAATGCCAGGATTGTCGGGCAACTCTGATTCAGGAACATCGGCATCTTGGATGAGGTAGCGCTGGGCAGATGCTTCGAAGGTGTCAATTCTGGCATCCAGTCGCCTCTGACGTTCCTCGACTTGGTTCAATTGCTTGGCTGTGGGCCTGCATCCCATTTTCCGCACTGCCACCACCAACTCCACTCTGCAATGTTCAGCAAACACGAAAGGCTCACCTGGCTAGACGACTCACTGGGCCTCCTGGATTGAAATGCCTGATGCTAACCAACTCGCCAACCCCCAGATTGGGCTGGATCCACCTTCTTTTGTGATGAGGTCCCGTTGGATATCGGCTTTTGTTGGAGCTGCATTCTGTGATTAACATGTTTGATCCAGAAGAATAATCCGACCTACCTTTCTTGATGAGAGGGGCATAGACATCCATTGCCGACAAATCATGCCTTCTATTCTCAATGGCACTCCTTTCCATTTCTTTCCACCTTGCTATTTGAGCTGAACTTGCTGCACCATTCAACTCATCAAAGGCATCCGAACTCAACCGGACATGCTTATACACTTGTTTCATCTTCCAGCAAATCGAGGACACTACAAACACATAAGCAATGTGCAGAAGACAAAGTCAACACAATGAGAAGTTACCTATGCCTAGCAACTTTTCCCAATTTGAGTTTAGCATATGGATATCCAGAGTCTCCATCTGATGGCTGTTCCCCATACCCCGGCAACTGACAGAAATCTTGTTTAGCCTTGCCCACAATGTTTCAATGACTTTGCCATCAACTTGACTGGCACCAACAATGTAGTTGGGTGAGAAGTGGGGACCACAAGAGTCCTGATGACCATGACATGAAAGAGGCCAATCCCCATGGTAATGTCCAGGGGAGTCGAGATTGAGGAATTGTATGTGTTTGAGAAAGCGGGTGAAAACATGCACACCATATTGACATATGATATCATACAAAACCATAGTTGGGGTAATGCCCAGGATTTTGGTAAGCTTCAATGCCTGACAAAGGATATAGTCCATGTTTATTTGCCTAGAAGTGAAATTGTCAGACGTGTACCCGATAGGGCTGGGGAACCAACCTTTTGCCTTTTTGAAGGTTAGCACAGGATCCCAGACAAAATGCACCATGGTGGGCACACGCAACTGCCACAATGCCAGTCACGGCCAAATGTTTCACCTGGGTGTTTGCTTGGCTTTGAGCATTATGGTCATGACAAGTTGCTTTCTAATATCCTCTGGGACATGAATACTTTGTTGCAACAATGAACAGGAACAAACCTGAGGTGTCTCAATGACAGCATCATAATAGGCCTTGTATCGTGTTTCTTCAATGAGAAATAAACTTCCATTTGTAAGGGGACAATCATCTTCAGGATACTTCCTTTTGGTTTGTTCAGCTTTGAAGTTCCCATCCATATTCAGTTGCCAGGCAAACAACCAGGGCATCCTGATGGTGTATCAGTTCACTGATTCAATACATGGTTGAGGCCTACCTCTCGGCATCCTTTTCCCATCTATCAGGCAGGTTGACTCCAACCTGAGGACATGCTGGGTAAAATAATCCCAACTCGCTGGGGCAAGGCTCATGGAATTCACCATATCCAAACCCTGACCACTTCAATGTTTTTAAATGCTGCCATTGTCTAACACATCTCATCATTTCTCTGTACCAGTCCTGATGAGACACTATCAGACTGGCATATATTCAAGTAGACAATTGTCATACCAGCACAGTCCAAGGAAATGCTGGTTGTGTCACTCTTTGGATTGTCTCGTAGTACTTGTGGGTGTTTGTCTTGCACTCCAAATTATGACGAGTGAAGTCGTCCAAAACCTGGAAGGTGAATGCAGTCCTGGGCTGCACCACACTTGCTGGGTATAGTCCCATGTCCAGCAATTGAACACAGTCAGCAGCCCTATCGCCACATGCACAGAAATTCACCGTGATTTCATGGACGCCAGAGACATCAACAATGGTCATGGTCCTACCACACAACTTTGGTACTGTATGCCCTGGCATGTACTTTTGGGGACCTTCAGAAAGGAGCTCAGCATCCAGCATGTCTTGCCAACTACCATCATTGTCATCCTTGTCATCAAGGGATTTGCATCCTTATCCTGGACCGGAATATCTGGAAACAGTACATCATTGATTCTCGTATCTGTAATATGCTTGGGCATACCGGACATCCCACTATTGGCCTGAGTTTGAGTGGCGTCGGCCATACTTCCTGAGAAGTGTGACGGCCCAGGATCTTCTGGTTGTGGGTCTGGGTTTGTCGATGGCTGGGACGCTGGAGATGCCTGATAGGGATCATTGTACTTGGCAGATGAAGCATATGGTTGGCAGAAGAGGTCCTCCTCTGGAAATTGGGACTGATTGCACAGACAGATATCCCCTCGGTGTCCCAAATGGATCTCGACACTGAGACTCGATAGCCAGGCTGGTTGAAAGAATTCACCCATCCAACACTCAACACAGTGGTATGGCAGATGCTGGTGACGGTTCCAGCAACACTTAGAGCAAAGCAATGGCTGGGCAAAGCAATCTGTGCAATGCCAGATGCCTTCATCACCACACTGAAGGCACTTGCAATCTGCTGGAGGCACTTTTCCTTGGATTAAAGCCTGCAAAAATACCTCCCAGACAGCGAGCCACTCCTGCATGAAATCATTCGGCGTCTACAGGTGTGTGCACTTAGCAAAGCGATTCCAGCTGGAGAGTCACTCACCTTTCACATCTTTGGTATCTCGTACTCTCCTTCATGACCCCTGTAGGTGAGATCTAGCTGCTGAAGTTGAATTTGCTGCAAAGGTTGAGGAGTCTTGGAAGATGTTGCAGTTCCAGGCATTCCAGGTGTTGCAGAGACCTTTGGTTGAATCTTTGCATCGACAACTCGTTTGTGGGCATTACCTTGCTTGTCAAGGTACCTAGTCATCGTCTTCTTTTTCGGAGTGGCATCTAGGTCATCGACATCACAGCCTTGCTTCAGTGCACCTCAGGGTGGCATAAAGAGATTCAACTCCACTATGGGGAATTAAGGGCAGGGGCACAACCCAGTAATATATTATGTAATATTGTTCTCAGGCATACCCAGAAGTGGTCTCATTGGCTACCAGATCCTTAGGTACCAGCCAACCGTGACTGCCAGGGGCGTGGGAACCTCTAACCTACATAAGACCCGATCCCTCATGAAGTACACTTAACAGACCCTCTCCCCATCACTTTCTGAGACCCCATGCTTCACGATGTACCCACTGAGGGCCACTGCCATGCTGGGGGTGTAGGGAAAATGGAGGCCCAATCCCCATAGCTCCATCTCTGCATATCCATAGAGGCCCACCGTGGCCAGAAGGTCGAACCAACCCAGACAGCATTTGGGATCTCAGTGGATGGGGGTTTCTCGATTTGCGATGACAGCCATCCCAGAATAGACAGAATTCCAGTACTCCATCCACACTGTTCAGCTAACCCAACCCATTAGTAACGTGTAGCCAACATCACATTTTGCCTGTTATTAACATGCCAGCGGACTCGGCCGACTCATGTCTGCTGGCCTTTAGTAACGAGTCAGCTGACATGCCGTTAGTAACGAGCCAGCCAACCTCAATACAGTGGGATTTCACTCGATAGTAACGTGCCAGCTGACACGAATCTTTGCTCAATGCCGGTTGCCAGGTCAATCGACAACCCTTGATACTACTGTTCCAGCAGACCCATGATGCCTGAATGGCGACCCAACCGGTCGCCAAGTTGATGACCCTTTCCTCAGGGACATTTGAGTCTCAACAATGAATGCCTGGACCCTCCATAGCATAACATCCTGCGCACGATCGCACCACCCGGCCAAGTGCCTTGTTTAATATACTGCTCTATCACATTGCAGCCAGCCGACCTCAATACAGTGGGATTTCACTCGATAGTAACATGCCAGCCGACACGAATTTTTGCTCAATGCCAATTGCCAGGTCAATTGACTACCCTCGATACTACTGTTCCAGCGGACCCATGATGCCTGAATGGCGACCCAACTGGTCGATGAGTTGATGACCCTTTCCTTGGGGACATTTGAGTCTCAACAATGAATGCCTGGACCCTCCATAGCACAACGTCCTGTGCACAATCGCACCACCCAGCCAAGTGTTGTGACCACCCTGATATGTTACCCAGACTTCACCAAAGCCCCTATGCCTAATTGGGTTAAGCCTGAGTGGTCTGGCAATTTCCAGATGCCTCAAATATCGCACCTGGTTCCATCGTATCTTAACCACACTATCATTTGACACCCACTCATCATGGTTGAGATCAGGTCCATCCAGCACCTCAATTCTTTCATGAATCAGTACACGAAGCTTGACAGCAGGGGACAGGAGATGCTTTGCCAATCTATCCACATCCGGGAGTTGTGGGGTTATCGAGAGTGGATCCACGTTGCAGGTATTCTTCTGGTGAGTCGACATGATTGAGATATGGTCCGGAACTCATGATTCACACCATCAGGCTGATTTTGAGAACCTCACCAAATCTCTCAGGCCTCTTATTGGGTCCTCTGTCACCAAAAGCCAGTTCCGTTGGGACAGGTTTGAGAGCTTATACTTGGGCATGATGTTTCAACTGGAGTACTTGGAAAGGATGGAGCATGAGGGAGAGCCGGATCTGGGTTCTGACGGGGGTTTGGAGTAGGCTAGTACAAGTAAGACTTGTGATAAAAATGAAGCCACTGTTTGTCCGATGTCTAAATCATCTGGCTTGGATCGAGGAGAGGCCCAAGTGATTTATTTGTTCGAACCCAACGAATTGACACTGAATCCAAAGCCTAATATCGACTTGACTCACACCACACTAATAAAGCCCCCAGCAGAACGGTCACACGGATAAGGAAAGGGTCTGGGTAATGCCGGTTCAATCGATATAT